ACAATCACTCAACAATCACACTTTACACACTAAGTGTAGGAACCTAGCCCGTGTCCTCCTCCTCAAGTGCTCGATTACAAACTCTCCCTAGGTTCGTCAATCGACGCCACTCCTATTGGATTTGACCCCGTCTCTCTCTCCTCACACTTCTCTCGGTGTACAAGTGTGTTACAAGTGAATCTCACAAATAAAGGTTCAATACAATGATTTGTTCTCAATTTACAAGTGAGAACACAATAAAGCTCATACTCACTAAATCCCACACTACAACCCACAATATATAATATGAGAATATCAAGCTCAATAAGTGTGTGTGATAATAGTGAATGAAAATAAATATAACTCAATGAATATAGCTTAATCAAATGAAAGTGAAATAATAAGCTATATTGGAAAGATTTTAGAAGACTTCTCAATAAACAAGAAGAGTTGAGGAAATGGTGATCTCAATAAGATTTGAAGGCCTCTTCTTGTTGTAGAAAACTTCTCTTAAAAAACTGATTAGCGAAACCAACTCTTAAACAGCTCTTAAACGCGATTAATATTTTGTTAAACAACAAACTTGGATTTCTTGGATATATGAGAAGAAGAGCAGCAATGGAGTATATATAGCACCCCAATACAACAGTTAGAAATAAGTAAAAGACCAAAAAGTCCATTTGAAAAACTAGTCGTTAGGCTCATTCTGATAACTCGTCGGTCGATCGGTACGGTCGACCGATTAGTTCAAAAACCCAGAGAAACGAAGAATTAAAGCTGTCGGTCGACCGACGGAAAAAACGGTCGACCGAATTGAAAATTTCGGTCGTTCGATATAAATTCCGGTCGACCGGAGGGCTCTCTGGAAGTTTACTCAGAAACGGAACAACAGTCGGTCGACCGTACCGGTCGACCGAATTCTGATATATGTAAAAGTTCAGGTTTTGGGGCAAGTTTGAAAATCCAGAAAAAATATCAAATCAAGTTCAAAAATAATGAAACTTTGGGGAAAGTTTCTAAATGATAAAATAAACATATTTGAAAAAGAATTTCTGGAAAATCAGTTTTAGTTTTTGAAAACTACCTGTTTTTGCAGAATGCTTAGAAAACCTGTAATTTTATGAAAGTGAACTTTGATATAGGACTTGTAAATATTCATATATATATTGTGCATATAATATATGTATATAGTGAAGTATGAAAGAGCTGTAAACATGAGATAAAGATATTTTAACAATGTTTAATGAAAAATCATCTATAAGATAGAAAACGTCAAAAATCGTGTTAAGTGTATATATATTGAGCTTAGATGTAATCATACTATATATGTAAGTAAACTAACATATACCTAGGTAAATCCACGCAAATGAACTTGAATCTTTAACGCTTGATTAACGCGTGTTGAAATACCTGAAAAAGAACATAAACACAAAACACTAGAAAACTTATTAGTAATAAATTGTTTGTCAAATCATCATCAAAACTATAGGGTCAACACTCACATCGATCTTGATGGTCTCCTCCAGATTTTGAGCATTGAGCGCATCCTATACGTTGCTCATCCACAAACCAAAATTGATCTTGCCGTCATATTTCACTACACTAATCTTAGTGTTCTGAAAACCCACTTGAACTGTGCCTATCATCTTGCTGCTTTCACCAACTTCTTCACCCATAATCACAAATTCCAAATTGTAGAGAAAGATCCAAACTTTGAAAAGAATAAGAAATTACCCAACTGAACCCTAGATTGGATTCTAAATAGAACTCCTAACCACACGAGGAAAGCGAGATCTTCAACGACAACTTCAAACCCTAACTCCACCAAAGCCTAGAACTCCAAGAACCAGGCTTCCAATTGAATCTTCCTCCACCTAATCCAAAACCCCAGATCTGAAATCTGAGCTTTGATACCACTTGTCGAGCGCCTATGCGGAAGCATTGCACGCACACACAACGAACTTGTGATCACAGAAGAAGAAAGCCTCACTCTTGCACAAATCAAGCCAAATATGACAAATCAAACCAAACACAGAGATATACGTGGTTCGGCAACTTGCCTACGTCCACGGGGAGAGGATGAGGAGATTTCACTAATTCAAGGAGAGTACAAAGGGTTACAATCACACAAAACTCTCAAACTAACCATCAACCAAAGATCTCACCTTGCTCACAATATCTCCCTCTCACAATGCTCAAAAGATATCTCAATCTCTGATAAAAAAACCCTAACAAATCGTTTCCCTATTTATATAAAAAAAACCAATCAGAGTGCAAACAGGAAACCTGGTTATGCAAAATACCCGTCGTAAGTCGACTTAACAGTCAGCATAAGTCGATTTGGCAGAGAGAAAAATAGCAACTGGAGCACACTTCGTAAGTCGACTTATCAGGCCTGATAAGTCGACTTGGCAGAGAAAAAAAATCCACAATTCCAGTGCAGTTCGTAAGTCGACTTGTGCACACTGACAAGTCGACTTACCCTCTGTGCATGAGTCGACTTATATCAGAAAAACTGGTTTTTCTGATTCTTCCACAGCTAAATCATGAAATACGAGAGGGAACGCTACATTTCATGATGTGGATGAGACACTGGTTGATATATGGAAATCGACATCTAAATAACGAATGCTTATGTAGTATACTTTGTGGTTTTAAATGGGAGTTCACGTATGAGGGAAGATACACGAGTTGAACTTTGATGAATCGATTGATGCTCAATAAGAGAGATGACCGCGACTTTTATTGTGAGAGATTGTCACATAATTTAGGAATAATATTGGATTGATGGATGTCTAACAAGAGAAGGCGTATGTGACTAGGGGTGGTAAATGATCAAATCGAATCGAATACTAAGGTGTTCATATTTGTATTTGTTTAAAATTATCGAATTCGAATACGGACTCTAATATTCATATATCTAGTTTTTCGAATTCGAACTCGAATACTTAGTATTTGATAAATATTCATGAATGTTCACGAATACTTATCGAATATCAAAGTATATTTATTTTGCTAAAGAGTTTGATTTTCAAATAGTATTAAAATTCATAAATAAAAATTATTTCTTTATAATATATGATGTATATATATTTAAATTACAATTTTAATTAGAAAACAGATTTAAGATTATTTAAGTCTTAAAATCTATATATAAAACTTAAGTAGAAATTTTAATTAGAAAACAGATTTAAGATTATTTAAGTCTTAAAATCTATATATAAAACTTAAGTAGAAATAATAAGTGGGTTAAAAATATGACATCATATGTGCAATAATACAAATAATAAGCTGTGATCAAATTTTAAACGAATATTTAATAAACAAACGAATCGAATATACATCTGGTTAAATTCTATTTGTTAATAAACTCGAATACTAAAAAATATTTGTTTAGTGATAAATGAACTATCGAATCGAATATGACCGAATAGTTATTCGAACAATTATCAAACCACTTATTAATTATTTGGTTCATTTTCACCCCTATATGTGACTTTGTTGTTTGCAATTGTCACGGAAATTTGATACTGGGAAAGGCCATTTGTCCATCTGATGTTGTTCACCATCAATGAACTGAAAAGACTATAATGGAATTAATAACATTTATTCAATATTACCTGAAGAATATCTGTGCGCAGAGAGAGACTATAAAATTGAGTAGAGTTTGGCACATCTAAGAACATGCAATAGAGCTCCTATTTGTAGCAATTTTTGGTAGAATATATAATGGAAGTTTTTTCTACGACTCAAAATACCATTAGAAGGGTAACATGGCATAAACAATCTTGGATTATTACTTTCCGGTGCAACAATAGATTACGGTATAACTTTGACTAGATATTTAATTTTACTATAAGGAATAAAAAAAAAGGAATTTTATAGATCCAACCATGGATCTAAAGTTTGCGTTATATATGAATTAATTGCTAGGGTTTATGAGATTTGTCACTTAATTCAAGATGAAATGGAATGTTCACATATTTGCGGTTTGAACAAATATATGAATCTGAAATTTTGTACAGTAGCAAATGACTGTGATCTAACTGTCAATCCATGTACTACCCCTTTCGTTTTGGTCCCAACCATAAAAACAACCCCGTACAAAAAAAATCCGAATAAAAATAAAAAAACCAATAATTCCCAAATCCCTAAATAAAGAAGATTCCTGCTATAACTAGTGCGTCAGTCTACGCACCTGCACGTAATCATTCCCCCTCCGATCCCCGTTCGGTCTACAGACGATCTCAGCTGCACCCCAACTCTGTCGAGGACTATCCACGTGGACGGTCAGATGATCACGATCCCAGGTTTCCGTCATTTTAAGTGCCGTTAAATTCGATGGTTAACTACCCTACGATCGTCTAATCCAGTAATTAACGGCCGTTGCCGTTCTCAAATTCCGAATGTACCTTCTTCCTTAGCACCAGAACGCAACCGTGGAAGCAACGCCAGGGGTAGATTGGTAACTTTTACTCTATCCACAATTATTACGCTCCGGACCGAACGGATTCCTGACTAACGAATCGCTCGCGGCGCACCCGCAGTAGCCGGTTCATCGACCTTTAAACCTTGTTAGCCGGTTGATCCGGTGGAAGTGAATAGCTTGCAGCCGTACACGTGTCGCAACTGGGTTCCGTTATCCTCTAGCTGCCTAGTCCACACGGCCAGATCTATTTAACGGCGTCGGTACGTATTCCCGTTGCCGTTAACGTGGAAGCGTAACATCCCCGCTTTAAAACAAATCCTGCCGTCAAGTTGGATCTAATCACCGCCCTTCTCTCACTTTTTGTGTTATAATTTTTCTTCATTTTTTTAGTAGGGAGAGGTGGGGAATGGGGAAGTACATGAGGAAGTGTAAAGGGATCAGGAAACTCGCGGTGATGGAGGTGTCGCAGGCGGTGGGAGTGAGGACGAGGGCGATGACGACGGCGTTGGCGGAGGCGGAGAAGGCGGCGAAGAGGAGGCGGCTGGATCAACGCGGCGGAGTACCAGATCGCGTACCTCCAGCTCAGTCGTGATGACGGTGCCTCCGACGCCGAGATCCGGTGCCAAGAGCCCTGGTTCTTGCTCTCCGCGGTGCTCGACGCCGGATCGCGGCGAGATCTCGCTGTGCGAGAGCAACGCGTCCTGTTGTGACGTTGCGGAGTTGCGGCCTGATGATCCCGCTGTGAGAATTAACTTCGTAGTGCGGTTTTGGTTCACAATTCTAGTTCTGTTCGTTGTTTTTGACTAGCTTTTCGTCATTTTTGACCTAGGTTGGTGAGGATTCAGAGGGTTCAGTTTACTTTTCGTCACTGAGAAAAGAAAGGTACTCTCTCGGTTATTTTTTTTGCCCTTCTTGAATCTCACTTTCTGTTCAATTACTGCGATTTTGATGTTAACGCGGTTGATTTTTCTTAAAATTTTAGGGGAGTGGCGACGCCTTCCAGCCAGCAAAAGGACCATTCTTACGATCTAGAATCGACGGCAGAGCT